TACAACCGTTTATGCATTTTAGAAACACTGAGATGAGGGCTATGGGTCTGAAATTGGAGTAATCGGTAAGGTCTCTATCTTTTTTCGGAATGGGTACTATCTTAATGGTGCGCCATTTTTTGGGGATTTAGTTCGTTAAAAAAACATCATTTAAGGCAGTTCGCAGATTGTTGAGTGATACGTCAGAGAGTGATTATAACATTTTGTACGTGATTGCGTCAGCCCCTCCGGCTGAGTTGCAATTTTTAGAGTAGATGATCTTAGAGAGTTCGTCAAAGGTGATGGCTAAGGAGTTGGTGCGGCATAGCTCAATGTCAATTGGCAGTTGGGCATTATTGGGGGGAACTTGGTTCTTTAATAAATTAAGGAAGTTTTTGTTGTTATCACTAGACCACTGGGCACTGTTTGAGTTTTTGTAATCGCATCTGAGGGCTTTTACAAATTTCCACGCATTTTTTGTGGACGGGGCCTANCTTGGTTCTTTAATAAATTAAGGAAGTTTTTGTTGTTATCACTAGACCACTGGGCACTGTTTGAGTTTTTGTAATCGCATCTGAGGGCTTTTACAAATTTCCACGCATTTTTTGTGGACGGGGCCTAATTCAGTTCACCTATTTTGTTTTGGAAACTTTCTCGTTTTGCTTTTTTTACTTTTTCTTTCCATTCCTTTTTGAGATTGGTCAGCTCTTCAAAGTTTTCAGGTGAGGGTCGGGATTTACATTTCTTGAAGGCGATTTTGAGGAAGCGGAAAGATTTGTCGAGAGACTCATCCCACCAAGCTTTCGGGGTTCTGTTGGTACTGAGCGTGTGTGTGGCGGCTTCAATTTCAGTTTGAAATTGTTTGTGGATGTCTTCAAAGTTTGGTTCAAAGGAGATGTTTTGAAGATTAGCAGCCAATTTTTTTTAAGAAAGAAACCTACATCCGACATGAGTGATCATGTTGGTCTCTATAACAACAGGAAAATGGTGACATCCTCCTAGTCTGATAGGATCAGCCTTCCATTCAAACGGTATATTGCTATTCGTAAATGATAAGTCAAGGACTGATCCGGTAGGGGATCCTGGCATTAAAGTCCCCCAGAATTCAAACGTTGCTGAATTGTTCAAGATATGAAAGGAGTCTATGGGTTTCGGCTTTAAAATCGTTTATGCGAATGCTCTGTGGGAAATAAACTGCACATAAAACTAAATTTGGCTGAAGATTTTTGGTTTGGATAATTAAAATATCGAAGTTCGATGTGAAATTTAATCTGTGAAATTTAATTTGCTTTTTGAGGACAATGGCCACACCGCCATATCCATCATCTCTGTTTTTTTCCAATATGTTATAATTTATAATGTTCCTATGCTGCTGTTCGTTAGAAGTAAATATTTCGCTTAGACACGCTACATCAAAGTTATAGTGATTTAAATAGTATTCAACAGAATTTATGTTGGCTTTTAAAGATTGACAATTGTACTGCAGCACTTTCATATGTTATACTTTGGGTGGAGTATCTATACCCCTACTTATTATATCAACCTCGTCTTGTATAGTATTACGTTCATATTGTAGCTTCAGGATTTGAACTTTTCCCAGGACTCCCTCCAAGTGATCATTGGCACATGCATTGTTTATAATCTTGAACAATTCAGACAACAGTTTCTCCATCTCAGTGACCCTACCTTTCAGATATTCTGGCTTGTCGAGCACAGAATCTCTGGGAGTTCTGACTCTGCTTTCCCTAGTGATTGTTTGCTCAGGGACTGTTTTTGGGGCTACGACCGCGCAAAACAGTACTGTATTTGAACCTCGTCAGTTTTTTGTTGACGTTTGTATCCCTGTTTTTGATGTTCTCATTTTCAGCCGATAGCTGTGGAAATTCAGTGTCTTCTACTGTGAGTAGATCAAAGCGGTTTTGGCTTTCTGAAAAATATTTTCAAGGGTTTCACGTCTGGATATATTTTTCACTGTTCTAATATGATTTATGGAGCGTTCTCTTTCCCATGCAGTGCAGTTGAGCTTGTCCGTGGAGACATGGTCCATACTGCCGCACAAAATACACCTTTTGTTGCAGGAATTTAGATCACAAGTGGTGAGACCACATTGGATACAGCGCTTTTTGGATTTGCAAGCGAATTGTGTGTGGCCCAACCTACCACAGTTCAGGCATTGCCTAAGAGGGGGTATGTAAAAGTCCACATACAGTTTTATGTAGTCAAAAATAATAAATTGAGGAATTTCTTTCCCAGAAAACCCAATTTTAATGGTGGTTGTTGGAGTGAACGACTGGTTGTCTTGATTCCTGCGCGTGAAACGCCTAACTGTGACGATGGGAACACTAGAGGTGGCATTTGCCTTGATTTCTGCTTCCTCATACCAAGTTGGAACCCCTCTCACTACTCCCTACGTTTCCACAGCAGTTTTTGGCACGAAGACCCTTAAACCTGTGGCTTTGATTTTATCGTTGAGAACAAAGTTATTTGCTGCCGCAGCGTTTTTGAAGGTAGTTTTGTACAGGCTTTTGCCTATGGCGTAAATTAAATCAATGTCTTTGATTCTAAAGCATTTTATTTTATTGAATAAGGTTAGACCGTTTGAAATTCTCTCATTATTCATGCCACTGCATTGTGACGAGTCCACTAAAACAAGATAAACCCCCGCAAAATTTGCTAGGTACATAGTCAAGTCAGTTTTGGAGTTAGCTTGATCACTTTTAGAGGTCACTGTGTCAGTTAGCTGTTCGTTGGCCGACGCCAATAACGGGCTACCGGTATTTTCACACGTCCCGTTATCTGTTTGCATATCTACACACATTTCGCTAGCATCTAAAAAAAAGTTGAATGGCTAAAAATATCAAAATAAAAAAAAAATATCAAAATATTCACCATAAAAAGGTGTTTGCATTGTTCAATTTTGCATTCAATTTTTGGTTGAATAGCCTTTCAACTTCGCTTCAACAGAGTTGGTCGCGAGCGTTGAGTTGAACGCAAAGTTGAACAATGCAAACACTGCTTAATCGCCTCCAATGAAGTTGGGGGGTAGCCCACTTTTGATTGAATTATTCGCCTGGAAAATCGCGTCATGCGAACATCGTATTAGCAAAACTATCGCGAATTCCCTCAAGAAATTTTACGAGGATTCTATCACCCCTATTGCGAATGTCCACTGGCAGTAGATAAACGACTATTAAGTGATTATCGATTATCGATGCTATTGCGAGTGTCGCTTAGTCGCTCAATTAGCGACTGTGAATACTTTTTAATCGCTCATCCTTCTATTGCTGTTTTTTAGTCGTTGGAGTTTGCGTTTATAAAATTTACATAAGAAAGTGGTACTATAATGGATAAAAAGTAAGTCAATTGAACTGGAAGTTGTAAAAAATTGTGAAATATACATATGTATGTATGTGTCTGAATTACAGATCAAAAATTATAATCAACAAAAGGCAACTTGCGCGGTTGGTCGTGCTGATGCAGGAGATTGCGGACATAGGCAAAGGAATTTCCGGAAAGAGTAGGGAAGGAAGCACCGCTTCTATTGGGAAAGATACATATACAATATCTCTTGTGAATATAACTCCGGCTACGCCATCCACAGTGTTTTTGCTCAGAAGCAGGGTTCGTATTTGCACACACATGCTCTGCTCACACACACGCCAGAAACACATTCAACTTGCACTCACTGCTCATACACATGTGTGTGCATAAGTGGAAAACAAACTCTGCTCACAGAAAAGTGTGTGCTGTTTCTTATTAAGCACATTCACATGTGTGTGAGCCGAATC